TCACTGCAAAAACAAGCATCTTAAAATACATTCTAGTCACTTTTAAAACGTTTAAAACATTTAATTTTTCCAACTTTCATCAGATAATGCATTTTAAGATGCTTTTGATAACTTTTTGGAAACAACTTAAAAGTGACTATACCAAAGTATCTTAAAATAAGATGCCTTCTTTTTACAGTGCCATGGTTTATAATAATTATAATCGTACTACGTAATTTATTATTTAATTGTAGCAGCGGCCATTCGGAATAGAAAGGAATTTACAGCAAATTAATTGGTTAACTTTTATAAGAATAACATAAATTTATCTAAGTGGAACATACACATGTCCCGGAGGCACGAAAGGGTTAAAATGAAATTCTTATTTGTGATTATATAATTTTATTTTGTCCTACACATTTTCTCGTGTTAAGTATACTGAACAGATTGAGCTTAAATTTTGTGCAAAAGTCCAAATAAAGAATGGGGACTGATGTGCACTTGGAAATTGGTTGAAAATATAAAGTTAAATGTGACTCGAATTTTCTAACAATTGTGTTTTATAATTTAAAAAACAAAAAATTTCGCACATTACAATAAAATTTTAGTTGGTACTTCTGTAAACCGAATGTCTGATAAATTAGCATTGCTGCGATCACCTTGTTTGTCGAGTTGAGCAAGGTTAGCCAAACTTTGCCAAATGAGTAATAGCGTCATAAATTTTATTGTTGAAGTGAAGTTTAAAAGACTTACGAAGTTCAGTTCTCTGGGCCGTCGGCAAAGCTTTGGGAAATACGTGAGTTGAAAAAAGCTTTAGAGCCTTTGGCGCAAGATTACTCGTCAACGTTGGCCCAATCCATTTTCGATCGTTGGCATAGTTTTAGAAAATACTTGGGTTCGGTTTTCGCAGCTCAAAATGAACCGATATTAAACGCCATGCACCTCAATTTGAAACCCATCAACGAAAGTAAGTTCACTTTCGTTGGGTTTCAAATTGAGAAGAATCGGTTATTCTTTTAAAAAGTTTTTGCAGTAAAATAAACTTTAAGGCTTTAGTTGACCATGGTCTGTTTTCGGCACTCGACCCGGGCTAACTCCGAGTTAATGACGAGCATTGGCCCAGCGCTGGGCTAGCGAAATTGCCTCGAGTGGCGAAGGGTTATTAATATTGCCTCCTATTAATTTCCTTTGAGCCTTTTAATCATTATAAATCCAATATGAAATGGTCAAATTGACTTCGTTTTACGGAACTTATGAGGGACGAATGGTTATAATCGGAATTCTATTGTACGGTGCAGAGGGTCGCTCCCAGGAATCTCGGTAGCTGAGCAAAGGCGTCGTTAACGGTAGCGTAAACGCCCACTCGGCAATCAAGGTTCCCACTTCTTTTCCCTTCCTCTCCTGTTTGTTATCCTTGTCGTTCTTCTTTATGGCATAACCCAGCATGACGGTCGTGATGTGTGTTCCAACAATACACAAGATATGGATCATAGATTCAATGACTACGGGGAAACCACATTCAAAAGAGGGAGAATAAAAACTCTGATACTCTCTCGTCGGTCCTGGGTGTCATCTACTGACGCGGAAGTCTTCTTATATCATAATTGCCACGGTATGACAAGCACTGATCAATTTCTAGAAATTTGATAACATAGAGTGGACTCTTTCGACTCTTTCTCGTCACTAGATTATAAGATTCTGGGTGACATACAGTTTCGTAAACAAGAAACGAAATCACTTTTTGCTTTGTCATCATCAAGCAGCGCGACTCTCGATGGGACTTGAGTTTCTTTTATCGACTTTCAAAAATTTTCATTTTTTTTTCAATACACAATATGTTACAGTTTGACATTCAGAAATTATTTTAGTAAAGTTGTCAAACAATTTTTAGAGTATTACTTACTATTTCTTTTCAGACATTTTTCAAGAATTTGGTTTCAACCTGTCACAATCATTGCTCGATCATGATATAGGGCAAAAAAAAGTTTTTTCTTCTTACTCATAAAACTCTGGGATAGTAAGTAGAATTTATTCTCACGTGATTTTTGTTCGATAATTTGTGTCAAATTCCTCAAAGTGGGAATCGAATTAACTTAAGTAGAATAATAAAATATACTCTTAGACTCAAATTTCGACTACAAGGTAGACTGAAAACATCTCTCAATAACGAGGTTTAAAAACTTTTGCGATTATATTACCCTAAAATGCTGTAAACTTGATGAAAATTTATGATCGTTTAAATATAAAAAATTAAAACAACTATTTATTTTTTAAATAATGTCATGGAAAACTTGGAATTAACATGGAATTTCATGTTTTGGTCATGGAATCAAGAAAATTTTATGTGATTCTTGAGCGAGAATTTTCAAATTTTTTATGTGTTGAGTAATTTTTTTTGTTTTTTTAATAAATGTGTTTAAATAAATAAATTAAAACACTGCGGTTATTTTGTGGGAAAAAATAGAAATATTTATTCTAAAACTTATTAATTATATTTCATAGAAAAGAGATTGAATGTTCTTCTAATATATAAAAGCGCGTTTTATTTTATAAAAAATATTTAAAATATCACATTCAGAGTTGCCACAGGTCAGAGAAATAATATATTTACCTTTACAGATTTGAAATTGAATTTATTTTAAATAACTTTGCGAATAATTTTATTTAAAATTTCAAACAATAATTGAATTTTATAAAAGCTCCACTCTCAATTTTTATAAATAATATATAATATGAATAACTAGGATAACTGGCCATTTAATTTATTAAAATTATGTATCTAAATTACAAAATTTTTTATTTTCAAATGTCAACTTCAATTTTTGAATAATTTCAGATATACAAAAATTTAAAAAAATTCAACTTTCATAAAACTTTTTTAAACAATAATTCAATTAAATTCAAAAAATTTAAGAAAATTTTCGTTTCTCAAAAGAATTAAATTGTTTTTAATAAAGTTTAATAAAATTCTAAATAAGAATTGAGTTCTTTCAATGCAATGTTAATTACATTCGTTGAAAGAATTTGCAAAAATTCAATTATTTTCAATATAATTTTAATAAAATTTCGCGAAAGAATTCAGTTATAAGATTTTAATTATTTTCACAAAATTTCCATAAAATTATTCAAAACAATTATAACTTTAAAAAATTTTAATAAAATTCTATATACGCAGTTTTTTTGAAAGTATCAAATTTAATAGCAAAAATTTGGAACACTTTTTTTATCCACATTTTTGGTATCAATTCGTTGTAATTTGATAGTTTTAAGTAAACAAAAGCAAAAATATTAAATTATTCCAGGTTCAAAATTATAAGAAATTACAAAAATTACAAAAATTAATATAAAATGTTATTAAAAATGTTGTATTATTTCAAAATAGAAAAAATTTCATATAGAAAATAGTGGAAAATAAATTAATTTATAAAATTTTTTTGCAATAATATTATCACAAAACTTATTCTGTAAATTTGAATCAGTAAATATTTGAACTAATTAGAACAAAACTGATACGAAATTTCTAAAAATTAATTTTTTGATTCTTAATAGAACGAGACATAAAATAAATAAAATTATTTTTAAAAAAGAAAAAAAAACAACTTTTAAAAAAATTTATTTTGCACTAATATCTATTAATTTTCCTACAATATTTTATTAGTAACTATTTTTATATTTTAGAATATTAAATTAATATTAAAGTTGAAAGAAGTTAACAATTTTTCCAAATCAATCTCACAAATAAATAAAATCTCTTAATAAGCTCATGAGTTTCACATGAGCTTATTAAGAGATTTATTTAAGAGATTTTATTTATTTGTGAGATTGATTCGGAAAAATTATTAACTTTCTTTCAACTTTAATATTTAATTACCGAATGATAAATTCATTTCCTTCAATTAAATTAATATTGTTATAATATAGATTAAATTTCAAAATGTTTCAAATTACAGAAGTTTTATAGAGAAGTTGAATTTTAAAAAATTGTGATTAAAAATTCTGAATATGTGACGCTTCACGAGAAAAGGGACCTTATTTACTCTTGTCATAAGGTCCCTTTTCTCGTGGAGCGTCACATATGTTAGTTAGTCTCAATTTGACAAATATCAAAATATTTTTTGTCAAAATTGGACAAAATATCAAATTCAGACATAAAATGTAAAAAATTGTTGCAAAGCAACGTTTCATCAATTTGAGACAAAAAAAAATATTAAAATTGTGGCGAAGCAACGTTTTGATATTGATTAATTTTTCGTCTCAATTTTTGATATCCATATAGAAAAACTGTTCGATAGTAAAATGTTGTGAAATTATTTACAAACCGAGCAACTAATGTCTGAGCTGAAATGCGGGATTTGAATTTGAATTGTAGAAATGAAACTATATAGTTACTGACGAATTTTGAATCCACGCTTCATTCGAATGATAATTTAGAGAAATTTATTTTACTTGAAGAATGTATATTCGAATAAAATTTGGTGACGCTCCCTGATTATTATTATAATGTATAAAATCGAAAGAGTCTTGTGACATTGACGCTATTGTGCAATATATACACACGCTAATGAAATACTACGTAGAATTCAGTGAAATGAGAAACTGTAGAGAGAAGAAGCAGGAAAGCGTCTCGTATCAACTGAACGGCATGCAGATAGAAGAGGGTTCAGGGAGGACATTGCTTGCTTGTTGTGAGGACGTGATAGCGTAATTTTGAGCAGCCCTTCTCGTGCCATCGAGTTTTGCTTTGCTCCTTTCGGGACTCAGATAATCCGCTTACAAGGGGGTCATGGGGCACATTCGGAATATATAGCGCCATTTTGAGGAGTCCAACTTTCAACTCGCTTCCAGCTGCTTAAAGAGAAGCGGCCAAAATCTCAGAAACAAGCGCACGAATATTTACCGAATATTTACGAAAATCATAAAAACAGAAAACAACTCATCCGCGCTTCCTAATTTACTTTTAAGCCTTTTGATCAGACTTTGTATTTTCTGAAACTAATTTTTGCTTTTACTCTCAATTCCAGGAATGAATCAACGAAAACAGCGTCGCGAGCGAACGACGTTTACGAGAGCTCAGTTGGATGTTTTAGAGGCTTTATTCGGAAAGACGAGGTATCCTGATATCTTCATGAGGGAAGAAGTTGCTCTGAAAATCAATTTACCGGAATCAAGAGTTCAGGTAATAATAATATTAATATTATATTGTATTCTATCTTTTACTATAACAAAAGAATAATATTAAAAGTATTAACATTAATTTTCTATTTGTACCATTATCCACGGCCTTCAAAATGTGTTATCTCATTGAGAATTGTAATGTATTTTTGCATCATAGGGCAAAGTATTATTGTAACATGACTCTTCCATCTAAAATGCTTCGTGCTCTTGCAAGCTGAACTGAGATTTAAGTGTTTATATATAGGGAGCGTAGAAATTGAACCTCCTTTCCGTATACGTTTAATCATTGTTCCAACTGTAATATTGATAGATATGACAGTTGGCTATTCGACATTTTTATTGTGGTTCTTCTTACATCTCAATAATTTTTCGCTACTAGAAAAATGCGGACTTTTAAATATTATCAAAAAAGACAGCAGAAAAATATTTTAGTCTTTTACTTTTTTTCTAGAAAAATGTGATATATATTTATACTCTTATAATTGAGAATGGAAATTTAATTTTTAGAATTCATAAGAAAATTCTCTATTTTTATATTTTTTTGTTTTGCTTCAATTGGCGTGCGCTTGAATTACAGATTTCAAAATCGTAATTTTCACAAAAAATCTCTAACTTTAAAGAATTATATTTTTAATATTTACACTATTAAATTGGTTATATCTTAGCCTATTTGACTCTAAATTTATTGAACTTTAAAATGATCCTACTTTGATAGCTCTTGCATCTATTTTTACAGAAATATTTGAATTTTAAGCGAAGCGAGCACATAACAGTAATCAGTACAAATGTACTTAAACTTTTTGACCCCAGTGTACATATTTCAAAATTTTTTTTGAATTCATATATTATTTTCAATATTTATTACTTCCTCATAGAGGAAGTATATTGTAATACCAAAATTTTTCGAGTTCGATTTTTTGACATATCTTTGTTATTTGACCTCAAGGAGTTCAAAAATGACATTTTTAAAAAATGTCATTCCGTATATGTGTGTGTGTGTGTGTAAACATCACATTTTCATAAATATCTCGAAATCATGAAGAGCTTTTGGGTTGAATTTTTTTTTAAATTGTAGATCTCACCTGCGGACATAAAGTGAGAGTACTTTCTGATATATTAATAAAGTTTAACTAAATTTTTTTTGGATTTTTAATTTTGCAAAAAAACGTCTTTTGCCCATAACTTTAAAAAAATGTTAGGACACCTATAAAGGTTTTTCCATAATTTTGTAGAGTTTTTTAAGACGCATATAATTATCTCTTGAGCCCTAATTGAACATTAACCTGCGCTGTCTTTATATTTTGTCCATATTAACCGGATATATTAAACCTTTAAAACCAAAAAATTTTGGAAAATAAGACTTTTATGAAAATTTTGTTAAAAAATGTAGGGGAGAGTGGGGCAAAATGGGGTACCTTTTTGAAATTGGCAGTTTACAGAGAACCAAACGAATAAATCGATTCAGCTAAACTTCAGAATTCTTCTTAGTATATACACTTAGCTTTGAGGAAATTATAATAATAGCGGAGAAAAAAATTTTTGAAAGAACTTATATCGTATTTTCTGAGAAAGTGCTAAAATCCTATTTTGCCCCACCCGTAGGGCAAAATGGGGTGGCATCAAATAACTATACAAAACATTGAATATTTTTTCAAAATTCATTAAATTCTTGTTGTATGAGATTATAAATACAAACAAAAAGTAGGATTCTTTATTACTATGAAAAAACAAGTCATATTTATTATAATTTAACAAAAAAACATGGATATTGCAAAATATCGATATATCGATTATTAAACATAGATAGTATAAATGCTTGGAAACAAAAATATCGATTCTTTTGCAGGAAACCTTTAAATATGCATAATATAATAATTTTAAATAGTTTTAATGAAACGGCGTAGCTTCCGGCATGCCCCACACTTAGGTACCCCATTCTGCCCCACACTGCATATTAAAACAAAATGCAATATTTCCAAGTTATTGTAAACAATTAAACAATCTATTCTATTGGAAATTACTCTAGAATATAGGTACTAAAAAAGATCTCACTCTTGCCAAATTAAATCCATTATCCTAAAAAGTTTAGTAAGCAATTTAATTTTGAAAAAAATTCATATTTTTTTTGCTTAAAACTTAAAAGTTGTATAACTTTCAAAAAAAAATTTTCTTTCGAGTGTCTTCATAATTAATAACAGTTTCTTATCAACATGAATGATATATGTCGAGGATAAAAAAATTAAAAGTATACCTATCATGGAAAAACAGAGGTACCCCATTTGACCCGCCTACCCCATTTTGACCCACTCTCCCCTAGAAGTAACTTTAAAATTTATTGTTACCAACTTGTAGGGCATTACAAAACGCTTCGATTGACCTATTTTTGAACCTAATTCGATAATAAATTTCGAAAATATTGGTATTTTAAAAACCAAAAATTGTGGGTAAATGTCATTTTCTCGCAACCCAAGTAGAAATGTCCGGAGTTAGGACGGAGTTAAACACCGGCATGGTACTGACTCAGTACTGACCGTCGGTACTGACTTTCGGAAACCGCATCAGTACTGGGAGTATACTGACTCCAAAACCGAATCAGTAATACGTCGGAGTTAAAAAAGTATTAAAATCAGTACTGGCAGAAAACTGGCATAACACCAAATCAGTACTGCGAAGGAGTTAAAAAACAATCAAGATTTGTTATAATGGCATTAAACCGGCCACTATTAATAACAACATCGTTTGATTTATTAACTATTAAAATATTTTCCAAGATTTTCAAAAACATTATTCATCAACAATAACATCAAACACTTAATTAATATATTATTAATTTATTAATTAATAGGCATATCCCATAATTCAAAAGGAAGTTTAAGTAAAATCACTTCCAAGCTTGCGTGGCTGTGCGGTTAGTGTATTCGACTTGCGTCCTCGAGGTCTAGGGTTCAATCCCCCGCGCGTACGATATTTTTCCTTCTTAGTTCTAAGTGTTTAGTGTATAATTCTCAACAGTGTTACATAAAATATAAATTTAAATAATTATAAACAATAATAATAATTTAGTAATTAATTAAAATAAATAAGATTGTATAAATTAATGAAAAAAAAGAAAAAATTTTTTTATAAACTTATTTCAATAAAAGCAATTTTGCTAATTATTTATATTTTTATTGTTACTCATAAAAGTTTATTTACTACAGAAATATTAATAATAATTATTAGTATTCAATAAATTACTCCTTTTTCTTTAATAATCAAATAACAAATTAATATAAGCTTCTATTATTATTATTATCTCTATGAGCAGGCAAAGTGTTCATGAAATGAACACCAAAATTATAAAAACAAGTTGTAAATCCAGATGTTCATTACATGAACATTTTGCTTCCTCTTTACGATCAGCAAAAAAAATTTGCTTCCTCGTGGAGGAAGCATTAACAATAAGAATATTTAATTTTTAAATAACTTTTAATACAATTTAACATTTATAAAATAAAGTGCATTCGTCTTAATAGAAAGAATAAAATTTTCTTAAACAGTAACATGAATCTAAATAAATAAAAAAAATTTTAGTAAAAAAGTGAATTTTTCAAATTTGATTGTAATTAATTCTATATTTTTCAATAGATTATATACTTTATATACATCAATCGATTCGTCTTGATGTAAAGAATAAGATTTTTGATTTATTTTTCAATAAATAATAACATTTTATTGTACAGCAACATGATTTTTAAGAAAAAATGAATTTCTATTAAAAGTGCAAATTTTTTGTCTATAATTGGTTTTAATTCTATAAATTTAAATACAATATATACTTTATATATACCAATCGATCCGTCTTGGTGCAAAGAATAAGATTTTAGAAATAAATGAGTAAGATTTTCTTATACGACAACATAATTTTGCGGAAAGCACTCATTTTTTGATAAAAACGCGAATTTTTCAGCTTTAATTGTGATTAACTCTGCAAATTCTCATACAATTTATACTTTTTATATACCAATCGATTCGTCTTGATGCAAAGAATAAGATTTTATTATTTATTAACTTCAATAACCAACTTAAAAAAAAATTTTTTGAAAAAAAATTTTTTTTAGAAAAAAGTCAAAAAAAAATTTTTTTTTGAGAATTTTTTAAAGTCTATCAATCCATTTCGAGATATTTTTAGGATAAATATACCTGGTAAGTTTTAGCCAAATTCGTTAAAACCTCTTCGAGTTATCGTGTTCACAAAAATCGGGATCCACACACACACACACACACACACACATACACACATACATACATCCGGACAATTGTTCAGGGTCTTATATAACATAGTCCCATATAGAAGAAAATTTGTTAAAAGGATTTTTAAAAATTTTGTAAATTAAACGACTACAAAGCTTCCTCACGAGGAAGCAAAAAATATTAAATTTGGCAACGGTTTTATTTATTTAGAAATTACTATATCAACTACATATTTTAATAAAAATTTTCTAAAGAATTTAATTTTTTTTAATTTTATATAATTTTACGCAAACAGTTAATTATTTTCATAAAATGATAATTGAATATTAAAAGCATTACAGCGTGAATTTTTAGAAATAATTTAATTCTGAAAAGGTTTTATATTAAAATCTTTGGAAATCTGAATTTTTCTTACTTTTAATAATAAAATAATGATTAATTTTTTCATTAAAAAAAATAATTTTTTAAAAATATGTAAAATACAAATTGAAAATAGTAGGAAAATTATCGTTGTTTCGGATACATATAAATTAACTCTTTTGAAACATAGAAATTTGCTATGTGATTATTTTTCTTCGACGCATAAAAATAGTCATAATTCTTTAAGAAAAAATATAACAACGTGTAATTAGTAAGTGGAATTACTCTGAAATTATAAAAGATATTACTATGTCTAATAACTCGCGTACCTCTATATATATGACAAACTGCAGTTTCTAAGGCCACGTAATTATCAATCGAGTTTAATAAATTCAAACCTTTCTTCAG